AGTACATATTGTCTCTCGAATTATGTCTCTCTATTTTGTCAATTTCAAACTTCTCACACAAATTCTTGCAGTGCAATCGCTTTTTTGATTTCAGTGGGGATGACACTGACCATATTTACCTTTATTTGTATGGACTATGTTTATAAACCTGCGAGGCGGTTGAAAAATTAGAAAAACTCTTTTTTGCGACAGTCTTTTTTTTTGTGCACTTGAAAAAAAATGAAATCGGATATTACCGGAACTAGCTGTATCTTGTTGTCAAGGAGTACATACATATTTTAAGTGTTAAGAAATCGAATTAGATGGTAAGTACAAGTTATAAAAGCGAGGAATATTTTCATAAGTATTTATTTAGTGTAGAAATCTATTTTTCAAGACGATTTGTCATTACCGTAACTGTCAGTATCGTACCCCCAAAAAATAAATTTTGCTGTTAATTATTTAAACAGACTCCTTTGCCAATACTCCCTATGCCATTTTTATGCCAAAACAATTGAAATTTCAGCGAAAAATGGCACGATTTGCGGAGTACATAGCATAATTTGTGTAATCTGATATTAGATTCGTAATCAGCGATCGAAAATACCCTCCGGAGCATCGTTTGCATGATTAATACCCTACATGCCATTCTCGTGCCATAACAATTGAAATGTCGGCCAAAAATGCCACAATTCACGAAGTACGTAGCATAATTCGTGTAATCTGGCTTCACATTTGTAATCGTAAACTAAAAGTACCTACTAGATGCCAATGAGGGGCAGTTTTTGGGGTACATATGCCTCCACTGGGGCCCTTTGGCCCCCCCCCCCCCCCAATGATGAGGTTGAGTCGGCTGAATATTCTTTGGGGTCCTACAAATACATGACAAAAAGTTTCATTGAAATCGGTGCTGTGCCGCAACTTTTTCACGTGTTCAGGCTTCTTGATTGCACTAATTTGTTATAATGTGCTACATTTGGAGAAAGTTTTGATTGTGACATGATTAACACTTGCAATTAAAGAAGTAGTAATCTAATAAAAAAGGGCGCCAATAAAAGCAACAACTACAACCAATAAATAAAGAAAACCTTTTTTTTTTAATACTATTTTACCTGATAAGTACTAGTATTGATTTTATATTATGTTTAATTATGCGTAAGGAGGGGACTGGGTAGGAAGGCACCACAGCGTACGGAGGTACCGTCAATAGTGTCCGTTAGTGTGATCGACTGTTGAATCTAGACCTGGCTCAAACAAATTTTTTTGTATAGACCTCCAACCTGATAACAAACGTAACCACTTTCGGACAAAAAAAAACGTTCCACATGAAAAAGATGCGCAATTTCAAGACTAAATTGAACTCCGGTCGATCTAAATTGGACGTACCGTTTTTCCACAAATTGCCAAAAAGTGTCAATTACACCATGTTTTTCGGTAGCTTGTAATTGGCGTTCTAACTAATACTTTGACTTCAAGTTTAACTGCACATAGGTTTTGTGATTTGAATCGACCCTACAAAATTTCAAGACGATTTGATGCAAACTATTTGCAAACCTTCAAATAAACTAAAAAAAGGTCCTTCTGTAAAATGGCTCTAAAAAAGTTGTTAGATCACATAGAGCCGTTTTTCAAAATGTTCTCTCCTATTAAGATCTTAATATAACATCGGTTAAATTTTCGTATCCCTAACTATTTTTTCAGTACCCTAATAATATATCGGAAAAAACACTATTTTCCGATACATTCTTAGAATACTTAAACAATAGTTAGGGATAAGAAAATTTAACCGATGTTGTATTAAGATCTTATTAAGAGAGAACATTTTGAAAAATGGCTCTATGTGATCTAACAACTTTTTTAGAGCCGTTTTCCGGAAAGACCTTTTTTTAGTTTATTTGACGATTTGCAAAAAGTTTGCATCCGATCGTCTTGAAATTTTGTAGGGTTGTTTAAAATCACAAAACCTATGTTCAGTTAAACTTTTAAGTCAAAATGTTAATTAGAACGCCAGTTACAAGCTACCGAAAAACAGGGCTAAATTGGCACTTTGTGAAAAAACGGCACGTCCCACTTAGATCCACTAGGGCTCATTTTGTTCGTCTTGAAATTGCGCATCTTCTTCATGCGAAACGTTTTTTTGTCTGAATTAAAGCTTTTACGGTAGAAACAAAAAAGTTGTTTCAGCCATTTTTACCATTTTTTTGGGCCGTTTGCTGACATTTTTTATGTCTTAACGTGGTTACGTTTGTTATCGGGCTTGAGATTCATACAAAAATATTTTTTTGGGCTAGGTCTGGATTTTCACTAAACAGGGATAGTTTTCATCTAGTTTGCTCACACTACGTACTGTGTGTGTATTTTTGTGTGTTTTGTGGCTTAAAAAGGGATTGAAGATTGTTTTAAAATAAAGAAGTAGTCAAAGGAAGGCCGAACCAAGTAAAAAGTGTGGAATTGGGTAAAAGAAGGTGTATAAAAGGCTGGAAAAGTGTGCGGGCATTTTGAGGTTAGATTGGTACAGCTGCATGTGAGAGGTGCATAGTCATCGAGAAGAAGATGGTGCCAAAAATGGATAATAGGAAGACAGCAACAAAGCAGCTGAACCCGATCGAGCTGTTGAATGCACGCATTGCAGGAAGTTGAGGTGGTGCACAGCTAAAATCCGTCCTGAAGCTAACTCAGTCAGAGCACAAGGCAAAAGAAGGAGAGGAAAAACTAACTAAGGAAGAAGCAGTAAAGACAAAATGAGGCGTCAGTGTCGAAAAAAGTGAAAAGGCAGTGGGTAGGAATCAGTCTAGCCCAGATGATTTTAGGATGGTATCTTTCGAAAAAAAAAGATGTCATTGAGAGCGAAAAGGTCATGCAGACGGAGATAAAAGTAGAATTGAGAAAATGCAGACAAGAGAGGAAGGAAAACAAGAGAATGAGGCAAAGTTACACAGAAGAGATACAAAGGTTAAAACAAAACGTGCCAAGGTTAGAGAAAGAGATAGTCAATATTAAAGAGAGGGAGATGCAGTCAGCAAGCATGCTAGAGAAGCTGGAGAAGAACCTGGAGGCAGCATGGCGGGAAAATTTGCTTAAGAAAATTTGGAAGAAGAAACGTTAGATAGTGGGTCAACGAGAAACAGCAGTAGAGGGACGGCTTCGGTGAAGAGCGGGAGGTCATGCGGGAGTATGGGCAACCAACTATCAGTAAAGGACGTGTTGCGAGTGAAAATTTGGTATAGATGGAAAGAAAGTATGATTTGGAAAGGACAAGGGGCAAAGTTTATAGAAGTAAGCAATGAAAAAAATAGTCGGGAGACAGTAGGGAAGTTAAAGGAAAAAGATCAGGAGAAGAGGGGAGGGGAGGGTGAAAAATCAGCTGAGGTAAGGGAAACCCGCAATACTTTAATTTAATTTTTTAATTGCCCCAAGAGAAAAAAAAGCATATCCTCTGGAACTGCTAGAATAGTTTTTTTATCTAAACTACTTAAAAAAAAAATGAATAAATAAAAAATGGAGTTTTCGAGATACAGCACTTTTTTTCTCCTTTCGAAATTTTGGAGATTATGTTGATATTTTTTGAAAAACTGATCGATGCATTTGAAAAATGAGAAAAAAATTCATCGATAACGTGTTTTAAGCATTTGTAAAAAAAGTATCTTAAAAGCTTAGCAGCGAGTAAAAAAAAATGTGCTCATTTTACACTCACGCGACGCGCTTGGCGAGTTAACGTAAAACGTCTCATATACATGTTACTATTAAATCTGGAATTTCAGGAAAACAAATAGTTTATTACATTACAAGGGACGCAATTTAATTATCCGCTCCCAGCAGTAAAGTTGCCCCTCAAGTCGAAGCCAAGGGAGGTAAATCGCTCGAGCAAATTATCGAGTGACGTCACGTGTAATATATACAATTTTTTTTAGCACTTCAGACAAAAATTCGCAATAAATTAGCCCTGAGAAAACAATTATCTTCAGTGACACTGGGTTGTGGTTAGAGCAAAAATAAAGGGCACGTATAACGATAACATTCAAGACCCGAGCGAAGCGAGGGTTGTTTATGAGCAGATGAAAACAGGCCTCAAAATGAAAAAAAAAAAAAAAAAAAAATCGGTTAGGACAATTTAATTGTATTGACAATCCTTTAAATTTTATAAGATAGAGCGGGCGGTGGCTTAGTCAGCTATGTCGTGGGTCAACGGGTAGCGGTTCGATTCCCAGCCATTGCGACTTCCTAATTTCTCCCTACCCCCTTCCAAGTAATGAGAGGCCTCTCATCCTTTTTCCTTTACTTCTTCCAAGGGCTCAGTGCCCACAGTAGTGCCCTTTAAAAGGCCAGACGTATGGTAGTATAATAAAAAGAAATTTTATTAGATATGCAATGACATTTTTCTATTAGTTCGATATTTTTGCATAGTAACAGCATTCCAATATTTATTCGCTAATATAATTATTTCTTGTTTGTGCTAGTCGCTATTTTAACAATTAATTTAATTTAATTAAACTGCAATAATATTCACACTGTATTTATGTACTACACCAATATTTAACAGTGTTTAATCAAAATTTAGTAAAAAAATACTATCACTTGGTTAAAACAAAATGTTTAACGAAAAATTTATACTTCCGAGATAAAAATCAGTTGTGCATAAAAAAAGTTTTTTTTTAAATTTGGTAGGGTTATTGCAAAATATTAATTTTACCAACAACTTGTGCAGCGCAAGGTTTAAGTGAAATCAAGCATTTAATAACTAATTTAATTTTTGACTGATGCAGGCAAAAATGTATCAAAACAATAAAATCGTCAAATCAATTTATGTTTTATTATCAAGCTTCATTTTAAATCATAAACTTTTTTGTTGCTATGGCTTTTGTTAGTGCTTTAAAAATTAAAAAATATTTTTCACAAATTTAATTTATTTGTTAGCTTACTATTCTGTTCACATATTTTTAAAAACTTATTTTCAATTATTGGTATCTATTTGATATTAAATTATATTAATGCAGTTGTCAGTGTCACTAATATGAATCTACTTACCAACTAGATGTAGTATTACTTAAATTTTTCAGTTTTCTTATTTCTTTTGTGGCCCAAGTTGCTAAAGTTTTTGTTCTATTAGTGCGTGATCGACGTCCTTTGTTTAACAAATCTGTTATTATTTCATTTTCTATCATTGGTAAAAGTTTAACTCCAAAAACTGTTACTAAATCTCCAAGAAGCCCTACAGAAGCAGCAATATTACCATCTGAATGTTCACGATCTTGAGCTATTGTAGTTATGAATTGTATAATAAATGAGACACTAGGTTCAATCAGAGACACATCAGGGCTTATAACTGATCCATCACCACGAAGACCTTGAATTATACCAGTATAAGCCTCAAGAACACCCTCTCGCAAGTCATTGAGATAATCGATCATATCATAGTCAGCTCTGTTTACATATGCTTGAGAGGCTTGCGCTAGCGTCTGTAATACCACGTCTAAATATTTTTTAAATTCTAACCCAATACTTAAAGCTATGTCACCAAAAACAGAAAGTATTTGTGGTTTAACAGATCGATGAACTGTATTGTCACTGAGATTCTCTAATAAAAGAGTCATTATTTCATCACAATAAGGAAGAATTTTACTCTTTAGAGCTCGACAAATATCTCCAGTAAGACCAACAGCTGCTCCACAAACTTGATATTCAGCATGATTTTTTAATCCAAGACATAAAAAAGGTTTGAATGCCTCCATGTATTTTAAAAAACCTTCACCAAGAACCTCAACTAGCGTAGATACAGCCATTAATGCATCTTCTTGAACACCACCAGATTTACATGAATTTGAATTAAACATTGCCAGAAGAGCGCTCATAATGGCATCTGAAATTTGAGGAGCATCTTCAGCTGTAACTTTTCTTAAGACTGACTGTAAAGTGGCACATAATAATGATTGAAGATCATTGTATTGAGCCCGATCAGAATTATTTTGTATGTGAGATTCCATTTGCATAACCTGTTGAAGTCGTTCTAATATTACCATTGTTGTTTTTTGTACAGTCACATAACAATCTCTAGGTGAGTTCTTTACCATTTCCATAAGTGCTTCATAAGCTGCAGATCTTAAATTTGCTTGAGCTCCATCAGGACGATCAGTTGTTTCCAGTAGTCGTTGAATTATAAAATCAAAATAATGAGACATACAATACGTTTCAGGCTGTTGACCATCTTCTATAACTTCAGCAGATTCATAACTGGCTTCTGCAAGCCCAGTGAAAGCCCAACAAACATTTGCAGCCACTCGTGGCTCTGCTTTTAATCCATTTATCAGTGACTGTAACAAAGGATTTAAGTATGTTTCGTTAATAGCAGCTTCAGGAATCATTTCACAAATTCTACCAAACGTCCATGCTGCTGTATCTCTTACAACAACGCTACTGTCATACATCAATTCAATCAAGGTGGGCATTGCTTTTTCTACTAAAGACTTCAAAGTTTTCGATTCTAAGCCCCCTAAAATAGAACCAAAAGCCATTAAAGCAGCATCACGGTAACGCCAATCTGGATTCTTAATATTGTTATCAACGAAGGGGAGAACATATGGTACAATACTATCTTCACAGCAAGAGGCCAGTAACATTAGACAAACGCCAGCTGCTTTAGATGGAATCCAATCATCTTCATCATCTAACTCTTCTTGATTGGTCAGTTTTCGCATTAAAACTGGAACCAGATACTGTAGAGCACCTTTAGCGTAATGTCTCGATACCTTTGATGGAGGACGACCACCTTCGGATGCCTCACCCTCTTCCATTGATAAATCTACTTCTTCGTCTGATACATTGGACCAAAATTCAATTCCTTGCAATGCAACTTCGTCAATTTCAGATTTCATAGCTTCAAAAGTAATCTATAAACAAAAGGTCAAGGTATAAACAATGTAATGCATTATAAATTGTTATGGTTTGATAGTTCAAGAGTGGAGAATTTTAGTAAAAAGTTAAATGCTTGTAAAAAATGGTAATTTTCATGTATGATATACAGTATTTACAAAAAATTTTTGTTCGAAAATATGATCAAAAAACAGAAAAATAGTTCACCTTAGTAACTTTAAAATTTACCGTATATATATATA